CTTGTTAAGTAATTTTCCCTTTTTCATTGCAAGAGGTGATATGTCTAAGCCATTCTGTTTCATTCCATTCTCTGTCTAGGTCTTTTTCTTTTTTCTTTTATTTTATAACCAAGTCCATTTAAATGAAAACAAACATTTATAGACAATATTTGTGAATTTGGGCGTCGTTCTTTCCAAACTACTTCCTGCTGGTAAGGGGTGCTGTCATTGTTTTTCAAGACAATGTTTCTCCAAGTAGCCTTGGCTGTTCTGGGACTGGGCTTATTGTGAAGACAAGGCTGGCCTTGAACTCACAGAGATTTGCCTGCCATTTCCTCCTTAGTAATGGAATTAAAGGTGTGTGTCACTACCTCCTGGCTCAATATTTTTAAATTAATAAAATAAATTCTTTTCTTCTGTATCAAGGTAACTTTCTTGACTCTGATGAATCTAATATGGGAAAGATATGATACAGCCATTCTAATAAATACATGAAAAAAATTATCAATGTCCTAAAAATGGCCATAGATCCTGTGTAAGGGTATCTATTATAGAACACAAGGTAGATATTAAAGTTCCCAGGAGCCCTTTTTTACTGTATCTCCATACATATCACTTACAGTAAAACTTAAAGGGACTTTATTTTTCCTGTCTTCCTGTTGAGCGTTAAGAAGCAGTTGCTTTTATTGCTAAAGGGTATTTGCAGGGTTGCAAAGGTTGAGTTGTTAACCTGAACATTTTCTCTGCAGTCTCAGGGCAACTGCTCATAAAAATAGGGCCAGGCTGTTCAGGTTAGCATTTGTACTGCAAACACCAGTAGTTATTTCTCCTGAAGAGAAATCTGCAGCCTTTTAAAATTCATACACAAAATGCTATCACATCGAAGGTAGAGGAGATCAGGGTAACATGTGATTTTTTTTAAAAAAGTTATCTGTTTATAATGATTTAAATGTGGTTCATCAAGAAAGTAAAACACATACATTCTAGTAACAGGAACACTGTGGACATCTGGTTGACCCAACACACTTCTTTTCTTTTAGAAGCAGTGTTTCCTCTTTCTTAATAAAAGCTTTCTTTACCAATAAATTCTGTCAGATGTGTGAAGAATTTCCAGGCTGTCACTTTTTCTGCCTGAGATTTGTCCTGACTCTTCATTTTAATTTTTGACTGCCAGGGAACCTGATCCAGACCCTAGATAGATAAGAGACCCTTTTGCAAGTACACATGAGTCTTCATGTGTTGGATAGAATAGTATCATACACATTTTTCTAAATAGCATGTATTAAAATTCTGATATCTTGATATTGCTGTCTTGGAATGTTTTCTTATAATATAACCAGAACACACACTTTTTCATCACTCTACTTAAGTATAACCTTACAAGACTGGATGATGATTAGATCACAATCACACACCAGAAGCTAGGATTTGAATGGCAGTTCTGCAAGCCACTAAAATGAGTTACTCAACCTAAGTTACTTGATTTCTTTTCATATCATCACTACATCTGCCTTTCAGAGACCCTGGGGATGCCTCACAGGAAACAGACTTGAGAAATGATAACAGTTGGCATCAGTGTTACTGATAATGATAAGAATAATGTTAGATAGTGGTTTAATTGATATCTTTCCTTCTGTTGCCTCCTGAATATGGTTACAAGATCAGTAAGCCAAGGTGAAATTGTACCTATCACCAAGGACATTATCTTACCTGACCCATAAAACTTGTTTAAAAATGTATATTACTTCTGGGACTACAGAGAGATCTCTATAGTTAACCAAGTGTTTACCTTAGAAGTACAAAGTCTGAGTTTATCTCCAAGTATCCATTTTCAAATAAGTTATTATATTGCACACTTTTGATTCCAGCATTGGGAGACAGAGACACAAGGAGAAACCTGGTGTTTAGTGGCTGACCAGGCTAGTATATTTGATGATTTCCAGGCCAATGAGAGATACTCTATTTCCTAAGGAAAATGGAGGACAACAAAAGAACTGCTTTGAAAGTTGTTCTGTGGCCTCCACATGCACACACATATATGTGCACTCGGACCCAAGCACAAATACAAATTTGAACACACACACACACAACCAAAAAAAAAAGAACCTGGACATAACTTATAATAGGTATTTTTCTAAAACGTCATTTCAAGCCAGCTGGGTACTATTCTTTTGGGTGTAGGATGTCTTCATAAGCACAGCATGAATTCTTTACAATCACTGAGCATTGAGCTATTTACTACCTAACAGGCACTTGGCCACTTCACAAAAGCCAGATAATTTAATCCTCAAAACTGTGCTGTGAAGTAGATGGCATTATCCATATTTTGGAGGTTAATATAGTGACTCTCACAGAGAGATTCCAGCAGCTACAAAGTGGCTAGCTATACTCGAACTAGGTCTGCCTGCCTGCTCTGCACAAACCACTTGTCTTTCCACTTCTGTATCCCCATTAAGAAAAACTGGTCAGAGTCTGTGGATTCTGGGGTTTAAAAATCCAATCATTATGAATATGGTGTTCACCAACACAGCTTAAAATACCAAGAATACAGTATCCCAGGATAAAAACATACAATTCACTAAGATCTAGGCCGTTCTTAACCAAATAACCTATTCATTAATTAAAATATAATTATCACATCTTTAAAAATTCATGTAATTTGTGTTTTGAGATATGTTAAAGTGAATGATTAATGTAACTTAAGCTTAACTTTACCAGTTAACTCTTCTTCTGATAAACTATGCTAAATAGAATTGACTTAAAACTCCAATAACCCAAAGTAGTAGTCGTGTGTGTGTGTCTGTCTGTCTGTCTGTCTGTCCACATGTTTGAATGCATGTGTGTGCATGTGTATGTAAAAGCACATGTGTGTAAATGTTTATGTGTGTGAATGCATATGTGTTTTCATGTATGTATGTGAGTGCATGTGTGTGTGTAGGAATATATGTATCTGTGTGTGTTTTGTGTATGAATATGTGTGAAAGTACATCGTATGGTCTTATGTGGAGGTCAGAGTCAGCTTTCTGTATTCCTCTATTGAACTACAACTTACTGTTTTTGAGATAGAGTTTCTTATTGGCCTGGAATTCAGAAAATAGGCTAGACTAAATGGATGGACTCTTCCTTGAGATTACCACACACACAGAAAAAAATATATATATATATATATATACATACATACATACATACATACATATATATATATATGTATGTATGTATTCTTCTGGAGATCAAACTTAGGCATTTGTGTTTGTATGGTTCCTTACTGGACTTAGCAATGTTCCCAGTCTCCATAGCTTTTATGTACTAAAAAGGATGTGGAGGATGCTGGGATGTTGGCATTGAAATGGGAAAACTAGGAAACACTGCAATTAGTTGCTGGAGAGTGAAGTCAAAGCTAGAACAAGTAAACTGTAACACTAATTGAACATAATTAAGCAACTCCTCACATACAGCCAAGTTTGTGTAACAGCTTGAAAGGTACCCAGCACTGTGCCCCTTAGGAAGACGCCTTAGTAATTTGCTTTGGGAAGCTTCTCAGCATAATAGCCACAAAGACCTTTTCAGGGGTGCTGTAGCCCTCTGAGTTTGCTCTTATGAAGGGAAGTAATGTTTTCTAGCATAATTTGGATTTTAAATTTGCAGCGATGTAAGCTATGGGATAAAATGTCATAGTGTGAACAGCACAGCAAATGGTGCTTATTTTCTGCTACAGTCACTGCTGTAGTAATTGAAGAATACTGTTTCACCACACTGTCAAGATTCAACACAACTCATTGATTCTACTTGTCACCACAGGTCACTGAAACCCCAGTACACAAACAGGTCTCTTTACAAACTGAAGTATTAGACAGGACTGTGAAAATTGCCAGACCTACTCAAGGCACACGTTTGGCTTCCCCACTCCTATGGCCCTAAACTATCTGAAGCCAGTGCTTTACAATAAACATTTCCTGACTTGATTGGACCACAAGATAAGCAAGAAGGACACAGAAATGTGGGAAGTGTGACAGTGTTGAGGGCCTTCTTATAGCTCATTTTCACCATGTGTGAATATGTGAGCAAAGAGAACTGGAAGGATCTACTTTTTAGTCAACAACGAAGCAGAAATTCCATTCTGTTCCATACTCTTACAGATTGTACATATGAAGAACTCATGTATTAATTAATCTAAAATATATAAGTATTTCTACCCAAAGTCTTTGTTTTGGACACCATCATGACCTTTAGCCCCATACATGAAGAAATTGTCTAAATCCTTCCTTTAGGTTGTACCAAATAAGTGCCATGCTTCCTATTTCCATTTATTGAGCTATCCCCTTCTTCACAACTATGTTAATTACACATTAAACCAAAGATTTATCCCCATCACTCAGTGTGAATATATGTAACCATAGCTATCTTAACTCACATCAGGGAAAGAAGAAGGTTAACAGAAAGAAAATGATGGAGAGGAGTAAAACAAGGGAGAGAACTCTTGTCTGCCAAGAGCCTGCCCTGGCTGACATGGGTAGTTCAACCTTGCTCTGTCAAGCCTAGCTTGCAGAGTGCAAAGTAAGTGCAGGAATGATAAGAATGTATGAATTTCACTTTTAAATTTTCTGCTATCCAAATGCACTCATTCTTGATAACTTCACTAATTGGTAGCTTTCTTATTCATGAAACTTTTTTTGTCAGGGCTGATAAATTAACTGACCTGACCCTGTGTCCCTTGAGTTCTTGCAGGGACTGAAGTTACTAGTTGCCCTTCTCAACATGGCAGGAAGCAGAGATTTCATCGAAAATATTTTTTCATTGTATTGCTATTTACTAATCTACAACAAAGTAAATGACTGATGAGGAGTGGGAGGATCTAAGCCACTGGCTGTGGGATGGAAGAACCATTGCTTATGTATAATTTATACACCTTATCACCTACCTCAAAGTATCAGACATGAAGGATGGTTAAAAAAGGGGAAAAGGGGGGGCAGGGAAATAGGTTGGTTCTCTTTGTGCATAGCAGACCACAACCAATACTCTACCTCTGCCAACCACCACGGCTGTGGGTTCACAGGTGCAGATGCAGTGTAGGAGGGAATTGAAGCGAATGTTGGAGTTGAGGAAAGCCACCACACAGCCCAGCTTAGCCAGGCCGAACCACACGTGAATAAAGTCGGGCTCATTGCTCATCAACAAAGCCACAACATCCCCCCTTTTCAGTGAGGAGTGGTCCAGGAAGGCATGGGCCACTCTGTTGCTTCTCTTGTCTACATCCTCATAGGTGTAGACATCCCCCTCATAAATAAGGAAGGCTTTCTGCGGTTGTCTCCTGGCATGGCTCTGGAACTTATCCAGCACAGTGAAGACCTCCCCTCTCAGTTTGTATATCTCCATCTGAATGCCATAGCGCACCACCTTCAGCAGGAACCACAAATCGTCCCAGAAATACGGGAACAGAAGTTTCTGCACTAAGTGCAGGAAGAGCAGTCCAGTCCCAAATCCTGTGAGCCAAGACAGAAGCATGAGCTCCCCGGCCACCAGCTGACCCAATGGGTCCTCTCTCAGTGTCTTTCTTTTCCAAAGGCTTCACCTCTTTTGCTCTGGAGACCCCTGTCCTGAAAGCTCAGGGCTGGCATACAGGCTTTCTGTGTGTACCCTGCAAAAGAAATCAATATTTCACTCAGAAGGGCTACAGAATGCTGGCTGATAAGGCTTTGGACACTGGACAGGGGAGCGGTGGAGCAGAGCCCTGAGTCTTCTTATAGAAAAACAAACAAACAAACAAACAAAACCTCAAAACAATACCAAACCAAAAATAAAACCCCACAAAACAACAATAACAACAAAACCTGAAAAACTGCTTGCATACAGCACTCAGGGGCTGGAAATGAGCCCAGAGTTCCCACCCCTGTGCTGCTGACAGAGTGGGCTGGTTGCAGGAGACTTTGGGCTTCAGGCTGAGGTCTTTGTCACCTCTTGTTCCTTGTAAGAACTATGCTATGCTGGGATGTACCTCTTCAGACAGATGTGCCCCTTCCGCAGCCAGGATCTGGAGGCTGAATTAGAGCTGCTGTGGCAGAGAAAGGCAGTGGTTTCCTGCTGGCTCCTGCCCGGCTCTCATGCAGGGGCTCAGCCACACCTCACAGTCACTAAGCAGACACAGCAGCCAAAGCCACCCTCATCCAGCCACCCTCGCCCCGCCCAGGGCAAGGATCTCCTTTCCCTCCCACACAAGCTCTGTCTATAGGCCAGAGTGTCTGCTGGAAGGAACTGCTGGGCACAGAGGCTAGGGATCTTCTTCCCAGTGTCCTTGAAGCTGGGATAGTCACCCTCCTGCCTCCCCCAGCCCTTGAGCCAACTTTGCAGTGACTTCCTGGACTCTGTCAGGCATCAGGCTGAGCAAATAGGCCACCTCTCCAAGTGGGAATGTGGTGGCCAGCTCACATGTTAAGCCCAGCCTCAGGCAGGATGTCCCACAGTTTTGTTTAGAGTAACACATCTCCTGGCATTGGGTCAGGGATGATGAGTGGCCTCTGGAGAGACTGGTGAGGTGAGAGAATGTTGACTCAGGGGGTCATTAGTAGATTAAGAAAATTATTGATGAGGTTTTAGGTAGAGGCTCCAAATAAACAAAGCAATACCTGCTCAAAGCAAAAGAGAGGTGAGTGCCCATCTATGAATTAATTAGGTCCAAAAGCGGTTATTTTTTGAGAAAAGGTGTAATGCTTGAACCCATTCGTGAAAACTCACGTTTACTCCTTTTCCAATAGGCAAAAATTTAAGTCTGTGGCTAAATCAGTGTTGGCCTGTCCATTACAACACTATCCCTAGAGTGACAATCTCAAAAACAAAATGAAACAACAACAAAAATGATTTAGTATCTGAACTTATGCCATATTTTATTTTATTATTTTATTTCACATATCGATCCCAGTTCCCTCTACCTCCCTCACTCCCTCCCTACGTTCCTCCCTCCAACTTTCCCTCTCTCCCCCTTTCCCTCCCATCCTTCCCTCACTCCACATGTAGGGTGATGCCATCCAGGAGGGGTCAACAAAATCTGTAAAGTCATTTGGAGTAGGGACTAGGACTTCTCTCCTGTCTCTAGGTTAAGGGAATATCCCTCCATGGGGAATGTGCTCCCAAAGTCCTTTTGTGCACAAGGGATACATCCTGGTTCCACTGTCTGAGGTCCCTTAGCCTGTTCAGGGGTTCTGAGTCAGTCCCATGCTGGATTCCCAGCTATCAGTCTGGGGGGCCCATAAGCTCCCCCTTGTTCAGGTCAGCTGTCTCTGTGGGTTTCTGTAGCCTGGTCTTGTCCTCATTCTCTGAATCTGGAATCCAGTTCAGCTCAGTGTTTAGTTGTGGGTGTTTGCTTCTGTTTCCAACAGATACTAGATGAGGGCTCTATGATGGTGGATAAGTTAGCCATTGATCTTATTATCAGGGAAGGGCATTTATGGTAGCCTTTCCACTGTTGCTCAAATTGTTAGTTGGAGTCAGTATTGTAGGTCTCTGAACATTTCTTTAGGTTCAGTTTTCTCTTAGAATCCACCTTGTATCCTAGTTCCTCTGGCGGTGTGAATTATAGGCTGGTGATCCTTTGCTTTAGGAGTAAAATCCATATATGAGCGAGTACATACCATGTTCCTCTTTTTGTGACTGGGCTACCTCATTCAGGATGGTTTCAAGTTCCATCCACTTGCCTGTGAATTTCAAGATTCCATTATTTTTTTCTGCAGAGTAGTATTCCATTGTGTAGATGCGCCACATATTCTTTTATCCATTCTTCAGTTGAGGGGCATCTAGGTTGCTTCCAGGTTCTTGCTATTATAAATAATGCTGCTATGAACATAGCTGAACTCACGTCTTTGTTGCATGGATGTGAATCCTTTAGGTATATGCCTAAGAGGGGGATTGCTGGGTCCTGTGGTAAACTGATTCCCATTTTCCTGAGGATCTGCCATACTGATCTCCAAAATGGCTGTATGAGTTTGCACTCCCACCAGCAGTGGAGGAGTGTTCCCTTTTCTCCACATCCTCTCCAACATGATTCATCATTGGTGTTTCTAATTTTAGCCATTCTGGCAGGAGTAAGATGGTATCTCAAAGTTGTTTTGATTTGCATTTCCCTGATAGCTAAGGATGTTGAGCACTTTCATAAGTGCCTTTCAGTCTTTTTTGATGTCCTCTATTGAGAATTCTCTCTTCAGTTCCATACCCCATTTTTAAATAGGGTTATTTGGTGTTTTGTTGACTAGTTTCTTGAGTTCTTCATATATTTTGGAGATCAACCCTTTGTCAGATGTAGGATTGGTGAAAATCCTTTCCCAGTCTGTGGGATGCCGTTTGGTCTTGTCCACTGTGTCCTTTGCCTTACAGAAGCTTCTAAGTTTGAGGAGGTCCCATTTATTAATTGTTGCTCTTGGTGTTTGTGCTACTAGAGTTATGTTCAGGAAGCAGTCTCCTACACCAATTTATTCAAGGGTACCTCCCATTTTCTCTTCTAAGAGGTTCAGTGTGGCTGGACTTATGTTCAGGTCTTCGATCCATTTGAACTTCAGTTTTGTGTGTGGAGATAGACATGGGTCTATCTGCAGTCTTCTACACACCATCATCCAATTGTACCAACACCATTTGTTGAAGATGCTTTCCTCCCCACATTGTATACTTTTAGCTGTTTTGTCAAAAATCAGGTGTTTGTAGGTGTGTGGGTTAATATCAGGATTTTTTATTTGATTCCATTAGTCTACTTGTCTATTTTTGTGCCAATACCAAGCTGTTTTCAGTACTATAGCTCTGTAGTAGAGCTTAAAGTCAGGAATGGTGATGCCTCCTGAAGTTCTTTTATTGTACAAGGTTGTTTTGGCTATCCTGGGTCTTTTGTTTTTTCATATAAATTATTGTCCTTTCAAGGTCAGTGAAGAATTGTGGTGGGATTTTAATAGGGATTGCATTGAATCTGTAGATTGCTTTTGGCAAGATTGCCATTTTTACTATGTTTATCCTATCTATCCAAGAGCATGGGAGATCTTTCCATTTTCTGGTATCTTCCTTAATTTCTTTCTTTAAATACACTAAGTTTTTATTATATAGGTTTTTCACTTGTTTGGTAAGCATTACCCCAAGGTAATTTATGTTGTTTGTGGCTTTTGTAAAGGGTGATGTTTCTCTGATTTCTTTCTCAGTCCCTTTTTCATCTGAGTAAAGTAGGGCTACTGATTTTTTTTTTTAGTTTATCTTATATCCTGCTAGTTTGCTGAAGGTATTTATCTGCTGTAGAAGTTCCCTGGTAGAGTTTTTTTTTTTTTGGGGGGTCACTTATGTAAACTATCATATCATCTGCAAATAGAGAAAGTTTGACTTCTTCCTTTCTAATTTGGATCTCCTTGATCTCATTTTGTTGTCTTATTGTTTTAGTTAGAACTCCAAGTACAATATTGAAGAGATATGGAGAGAGAGGTCAGCCTTGTCTTGTTCCTGATTTTAGAGGAATCGCCTTAAGCTTCTCTCCATTCAGTTTGATATTGGCTGTTAGTTTACTGTATATTGCTCTTATCATGTTTATGTTTGTTCCTGTTATCTCTGATCTCTCCAACACCTTTATGATGTAAGTGTGTTGAATTTTGTTGAAGGCTTTTTCAGCATCTAGGGAGATGATCGTGTGGTTCTTTTTCAGTTTGTTTATATGGTGGATCACATTGATAGATTTTCGTATGTTAAAACATCCCAGCAACCCATGGTCATACTGGATGATTTCTCTGATGTTTTCTTGGATTTGGTTAGCCAATATATTATTGAGTATTTTTGCATCAATGTTCATCAGGGATATTGGTCTGTAGTTTTCTTTGTTAGTTGTGTCTTTGTGTGGCTTGGGTTTCAAGGTGACTGTGGCCTCATAAAAAGAGTTTGGTAAAGAACCTTCTGTTTCTATGGTGTGGAACAATTTCAAGAGTATTGGTATTAGCTCTTCCTTGAATTTCTGGTAGAATTCTGCACAGAAGCCATCTGGCCCTGGGCTTTTTTTTGGTTGGAAGGCTTTTGATGACTGCTTCTATTTCGTTAGGGGTTATAGGTCTATTTAAGTTGTTTGTCTGTTCTTGATTTAATTTTGGTAAGTGATAGTTATCCAGAAATTTGTCCATTTCCTTTGAATTTTCAAATTTTGTGGAGTACAGGTTTTCAATGTATGAACTGAAAATTGTCTGGATTTCCTCTGTGTCCGTTGTTATGTCCCCCCTTTCATTTATGATTTTGTTAATTTGCATGTTCTCTCTCTGCTTTTTTATTAGTTTGGATGAAGATTTGTTTATCTTGTTGATTTTCTCAAAAACCCAACTCTTTGTTGCATTGATTTTTTTTTGGTATTGTTTTCCTGGTTTCTATTTTATTGATTTCAGCCCTCAAATTGATTATTTCCTGGTATCTACTCCTCCTGGGTGAGTTTGATTCTTTTTGTTCTAAGGCTTTCAGTGGTGCTTTTAATTGTCCAATGTGACCAACTTCTGTTTTCTTCATATGGGCACTTAGTGCAATGAACTTCCCTTGTAACACTGCTTTCAAGGTGTCCATTCTCATTGAATTTTAAGAAGTCCTTAATTTTTTTATTTCTTCTTTGACCCAGGTATGGTGCATT